AACAAACGCCGATGCATTCGTGTATGCTGTCCTGAAAAAGGTTCGCCATCTTCCCATATATTTGACCTCCTCGAACCGGCTGGGCATTGCGGCCGTATGACGGGGCCGAGATTACAGGCAGTGTATTTCAATAAACGCTAAGAACTGGTCAAATATTTCTTGGAAGGTTGTTACCTAGCTTGTTCTTGTTGCCATGGGCGTACCAACCGGGGGGGCAAGCCATGTGTCTTGCCCCCCACCCCCCCCCCCAGTTCTCAAAGGGGGGGATGGGCAAGACTTGTGCTTTGCGCCCCCCCCCCCCCCCCCCCCCTGAAACGGCCGCCACTGGGCAGGGCAAACACTGGCCGGCGGCGCCCCAGGAATAGCAAGGAAATCGCCCCCCGGCCCGCGGGGGCATATTTTTTACGCGCAGGCGATACAAAACCCTAGCAACGGCGCTCACGCCGGATTGGCTGGTTCGTGGAGATAGGCGCTGCCGCCGTCAACATAGGCAGCGGTTACAATGCGAGTTTCCGAACCGGAAGCACAACTTAGTGGTAAGATGTCTGCCTCATATGTATCAGACCCGGGTTCTATCCATGGTGTGGGCTTACTTCTTTTATGTTTTTTCCTCGAACATTTTGTTTTGTCGAGGCATTTGGCGATATTTACGACATTTCTTTTTTACGATTAACACTGAAAGAAAACGAATGTTGTTGACGAAACATCGCTGCACTAAATCGTATGGAACTCTATTTACGGAGGTGCATGGGGGACAGCGGGGCTTGGGTTGCCGGCTGGACGCCGCAAAGCGGCGTGTACGTGGGAGGGGGGGGGGGGGGGGGGGTGAGTGGGTTAATCGTTTTGTAATTAGCAGCCGCACACTGTCGCCGCGAAGCGGCGGGAACGCGGGCGCGGGGGTGGGTTAACGCGCGGGTTAACGCGCTTCGAGTGATACACGCGCCGTCCGAATACGAAATTTAAGTGCCCGCGCGTTGCCCAGCAGCCAATCCGGCGTGAGCGTCGTTGCTAGGGGGTCTATCGCCTGCGCCGTAAAAGGAGCCAGTGACCAGAGCGCCCGGTGCGCATACAGAATTGGCCCTCTCCCCCCCCCCCCTCCTTTTACAACGCCTACGCACACACACGCAGTAAACGTTAGTGATGGACCGAATATGACGAACTTCAGAATCGGCAAAGTTCCGCACATGCCGAAATTTTGAGAGAAAGTTCGGCAAAGATTCGGCAAAATTTGGCAAATGTCTGCGCACGCGCACGAACGCGACGGAACCATGGATCGCAAATGGACGCCGCGCAGTCGCGCGGTTACCGTCGCACAGTTTAGTACAACCAGCGGTTACGGCGAGGTGTGGAGTAGGCGACACGGTAACTTTGCGTTTATGACCTTTTGTGGTTCTCTTGAATATTTTCTGCCTCAAGAACAGAAGATCGACCATTAATTTACGCAGTCCACTGCGCAAGTTACAAATGATGCGGTGCATTCTGGATAATGTGACCTTTCCATTGATGAAACGAGGTAGTTGAAACATTGACTGACAACTGACAATTACGCTCAGTGTGCGCAGCCCACTACCGTCAAACGGGGCGGAGTCACGAGAGCTTTCCAGAATGTATGGGATGCTGCTGGCATCCTTGTCATAATGTGATACATGTTTTACCCTTCTTTTCTTTCCTTTTTACGTACTTTCTGTAGTGTGTATATTCTGTACATTTATTTCTCTGCTTTGTTTTTCATATGTGGTGGCGGGCTGGCAGCAGACACGTACGAGCTACTCTAAAAAAGTAATTAAGTCACTGAGTATTAGCCTCAAAAGTAATTTGAGTAGAGTGAATGAATGAATTACTCAAATAGAAAGTAATTGAGTAAATTACTAATTCCCCTAAAAAGTAGCAAATTACTTTTGAAGCTACTTTTATTTTTTCTATGCTAAAAAGGAAATACTTACAAAGGTTTTGATGCGTTAGCGAAATTCTGCTAGCCGAATATAAAGCGGCTTGTGTTTTCACATAAATGCTTTAATAGCTGGTTCTGCTTCTGCATGCCTAATTGTCGTGCACTTCTTTTTAGTCGAGGATGTACTGCGGATGTATCATCTCACCTTTGAGGTTTAGCACTGCCTGAGCTTGGTTTTGCAGACTGCGTTCGATTGCTTACAATGTTGCATAAAGTACATCTAAAAACTACCTGGAAGTACAAAGTAAATGAGGGGTTATGTACTTCAAGTAAAGTAGTAAGTACACCGAATGCAATGCACTTGAAGTAAAGTACTATAAATACAATGTATTTCCAAAGTAAAGTTGAAGTACTTTTTAACACTCTTTCAGAATGCCCTTTCATTTCCTATACAACGTTTTTTTTGTTTCTTTAATTGGCCGGTATGCATTGTTTTTGGGGAAATCGGAGGTGCATCAGTTTTTTTCGAAAGAACGGCAAATTCGAAAATGCATCACTTTTTTTTTTTGGGGAAATGGCGGCAACTAATACGCCATAGAGTAATTGCTTTATTCTCGCTGCCGAACCGTTTAACACACTCAGCTTATAAAGCACTTATTTGTATCGGTTTTATAGCCGCCATTACTTTACTCAGTGAAATGACCAGATGACGTCTCGAAAGACAGCACAAGCTATACAGGAGCACCAAATTAACTTCAGAGCGGGTGCTGCACTTTGTTACCCCTTTTCAGTGAGGATGTAGTGTGTATACCTCCTGTACTAGGCAAGAATTCCTACACTGCGGAGAAGCGGAGACAAGCCCTTTCTTCAAATGCGTCAAGTCTACTTGAGCTTCGGGACACAGAAAAACGCCAGTCTTCGGCGCTAATCCCACAGTTACTCGGCCTCTCTTGCGTCGTGTCTGTTCGCTCCCCGCGCCTCTTAGCAGTGTTGTTGCAGTGGGGGGCTCGCTAAAATTTTGGGGGGTTTTGAACTATCCAAATTACTTTCTTCCTCCCCCCCCCCCTTTTCTACGCCACATGCTTCCCCCTCTGCAAATATTAGCTGACCTTCCAACATCTTATCTCTGTTGATGGGCAAAACAACCACTAAAATTCGAACGTAATTTGTAATTTGAGTAGAAGTTACTCGGAAAAGTAGTTAAACTACTTATAACCAAAATTGAAATGTAATTTAAAGTTACTAAACTACCCAGAGAAGTAGTTAAACTGCAGTAATTTGAGTAAAGTAGCTGAACTACGTAGAAGCTTGGCTGGCAGGAGCTCTGCGTAAGGGTTTTCACCTATCTGCCTAGCCCCGCACACCACCACATGGGCCCCTTCCAGAATGTGCAAATGAAATTATTATTATTATTATTATTATTATTATTATTATTATTATTATTATTATAACAGTCTTGTTTTGAGCTCACATGTAGTTTGTGCCAAAACAAAATAATATTGCTTTTTAGTTCGCGTTATTTCGCGATCCATGTATCTCCATAAAACTAAACACAGAACTATCATGCTGGATGTTGTACATCCGACATTCGTAACTATCCCCCACTTCCTAAACGTCCGTTTGTGTTCTAACACCAGAAACTGGAATTTAAAGATTAAAAACGTAACTTTGCGAATATGGAACACATATACTTTCATGCTAAGCTGACGTCAAGTGACTCAAATCGGAAAACATGCATATTTCCAATATTGTTTTCTCTTCTTGTGAAGGAAAAGCAACCATTGCATTCTGTTTTCGCGCAAGAAAAACGGTGACTCCCAGAGAAAGTAAAAACGCAGGGATTGCCTTATTTTAACAACGTAATCAAGCTTGCAGAAGTGCGCTGATGATGCCTCAAAATCAAAACTCTCATAGCGTGATTTGTGACTGCACCGGCTACTACCCAACCTCGTTGTCACTCCACTTTCTGCAAGCAAACACTAAAATTCCTAGTAAACACACAAAAGCGACATCGATACTATCTTGTAGAATATTACTTTATTTAGTCATAACTGTGTCAATAGGCACTACATGTTGTATTAAAGTTAAGAAAAAAAACATTAACCTTTTTTCGTCATAGAGAACTAAATATCAATGTTAAGTCTGGTAACAGTGCATTTTGCCGAATCATTTCCGAATCTTTAGAAAAGTTCGGCAAAAGCTGGGCCCCTCACTAGTAAAAATATGCGACCGGGGGAGGGGGGGGGGGGGTCTGGTTTGCCCCTCCACTGAAAAACAAGTTGGTACGCCACTGCTTGTTGCTGTTGTTTTGCTTTGTTATACAAGAAACCTCTGGCGGCAGGCATCGTACACGTTAACTCTAAAATTATGTGCCTCCCTTCAAGGCTCTTGAGAGTAAACACCCAACACGGCAAAATAAGCCTTTCGAGAAGCACGCGGCAATGCTTGGAAATGAGTATGATAACAAATAGACTTCCGAGCTCGAGTGTTCTTTGCGTACGCCGTCGTGCTGCATTATAAGTTGGGCGCAATTTTGAAATCGACACCTTCAACGGAACGCGCGAGCACCAAGCCTGCTAGTGCAAGTTTCGGTTCTTGCTAGCGTATTGCACGACGTTTGTGTTCAGAATTATTTCCGTGATTGCTACTTGTAAATGTTTAATTTGGTATAAAACATTAATCAGCATATAGGTATATATATATATGTCATTTTTTATTCCGAATTTATGTGTTCGAGGTAGATGTAAAGGGAGGTTCGGGAGCTCCCTTTAACATATGCTTTCCCCTAGTTAAAAGGACCTTTATACGCCGTGTCATAACGATCTCCACTGGGCAGCGTAAAGCTAAAGGTACTTTTACGCTGCCCAGTGAATGGGACAGTAGTGAGTAAATCACTTGAGTATGGCGTAAAAGTATGCAAACTTCACAGCAGCCGGTGTTTTGGCGTCAGAAGTTACAAAAAGAATAATTTCAAGATAAAAGGTGCGGAATAAATTTAGAAGTGGAAGCAGCATTCTTTTAATCGTTTTTGTTATCCATGGCTTTATTATAAAATGCAAGTTTCTCTTACTAGCCACCACTTAAACCTTTGGTGCATTGCCGATTCTAGGGGACATCGCGTACTACGACCAAGACGGCAGGGTCTACTTTGTAGACCGGTTGAAGGAATTCATCAAGTGCATGAACGACAAGGCCTATCCCTCGGAACTGGAGAATCTTCTTCTTAAGAACCACGACGAGATTGCCGAAGTCGCAGTAGCAGGCCTGCCACACGACGAGCATATTGAAGTGGCCGCCGCTTTCGTCGTTCTCAAAGAGTCCCACAAAAAGGACCGGAAGACGACGGCGGCGGAAATGAAAAAGACAGTCTCAGGTGAGGGCGAAACTTGGAAAGTGCATAATATCGCGTGGAATAGATACATAAACTATTCGTACGTTTCCGGATGCGTCACGTTGTTAAGCACCATAGTTTAGGAAACATTAAGGAAGCAAAAAAAAAGCTATGTCGAAACCTAAAATATAAAACGGCTCTGCAAAAAAAAAAAGAAAAAAAAAGAAACGCAAGAATATGAAAATGGACCGATTTTTTAAAGACTTAAAAGGATGAGCAATGTCTTCGACCGCGCCTTTGATGAAATACTTCCTTAATATGAGTGCCAGTTGGCTCAATTTTAGTTCATCTGGATATTCAGTGCTGAAGGAGCTCAGATAGTAACAACCAGTTGATCAGTTGATGAAGGACATTTTGTTTAATAGGATAGGCAAGTATATACGTCTTCGTAGGAATCTGGAATAGCTAATTCTACAGTGTAACGCGCTTCTACTCAATTATTTTGAATATTTGTATTTTTGTCTTCTGTTATTATAAAACAAAAACATGACTACAGCTCCTTTACTTGAGTAAAAAATGGCTACGCTGAGTGAGGTAATGGAATTATGTAACCCAACAAATGGGAGAAACAAGAGAACGACTCATCGTGTTTTAGATAAGTGATCTGTTCGTTTCTTGCCATAGTTAATAATGCTTAATGACTTTTTCTTCCACTTATTATAGACGTATGCCCAATATACAAGCACCTTCACGGCGGTGTCTACTTCCTTGATCACCTACCCAGGACTCCAACTGCCAAGGTGAAGCGGGCAGCTTTGAAGGCCTATGCGGCATCTCTGGGTTCTTCCGCTTCTGATTCGATAACCTCAAGCAAATAGTCTAATTAATATCACCTGTGTGCAGATAGAGCTTACCAGGAGCAAATAAAGGTTTTGGTATAACTTACCCCACCTGTACTCATACATGGTAAGGTTTTGTCTCTTTAAATTTCTGAATGCACACATGGCTGCGATTAATTTTTTTTAATATTTTTTCTTTCTTGCAATAATGTTCGCTTTTTACTTCTTCAAGGACTGCACTTGCAGAAATCTTTATATTAATTTACATTCCTGAATGATTCAATGTGCCCATAAAAGAAGCAATTGATTGGCGTGTGGCAGGTCAACGATGTTGCTCTAGAGCATTGCAAGATGAAAATGTAAATTATAGGGTGGGGTGCAACTAAAGAATGGAGTCGAATAGCTGAGGGCCATCTTCGACTTTAACGCTATACAAAGGGACGATATGTCTTGAGTTCCTTTGCACTATGAAAGCAATAAAAGGTGCAGCGGTATACAACTCGAACCATTGTTCGCATACTCGTAATGAAATGCAAAATGATAGCAAGACCCGCGGAACCCAAGTACGTTCTTGCTCACTCAAGCACATACGCATCTGCAGTGATGACTATAAATCGAGACCGGGGCAGAAGGACGAAAACATTGTGACAGTGGTAGAAAAAGTGAAAGCCGCTTACAACTCCATGTAACGCCGAATTAGAGCGCAGCTCTTGAGGAGGAGGAGGGAAGGGTACTGGGGGGGGTTCAACTAACCAGGGGGGTCACGTGACCTTGGGGGTCACGTGACCATCCCCCCCAATGCCGAAGATGTCATCACTGACGTCACTGATGACGTCATCAGTGACGATGACGATACCGATGACGTCATTAGTGACGTCACTGATGACTTCACCAGTGACGATGACGATGACGATGTGAATGTCGGTGACGTCATCAGTGACGCGACGATGACGATGCCGGTGTCGACATCAGTGACGTCACTGATGACGTCATCAGTGATGATGACGATGACGATGCGGATGTCGGTAACGTCATCAGTGATGATGACGATGCGGATGCCGGTGACGTCATCACTGATGATGACGATGACGATGTGGATGCCGGTGACGTCATCAGTGATGATGACGATGACGATGTGAATGCCGGTGACGTCATCAGTGACGATGACGTCATCGGGGGTCACGCGACATCGGCGGGGGTCACGTGACCTCGGGGGTCACGTGACCCCCTCGAGGTCACGTGACCTCAGGGGAGTCACGTGACTTCGGGGGGTCACGTGACCTCGGGGCGGGCCACGTGCCCCCCACGAGGTCACGTGACCCCGGTGGGGGGCTCGCGCGGTGCATTATGGGACATTTCCCATAATGCACCGCGCGGTTACGCCGACGGCGACGCCGACGCCGCTCAAGCCGGAAACGGGCCCCTAAGGGTTGCGCTCTAAAACGAACTGGGATAGACAATATCTCTATAATGGTAATCTTCCTTTAGCTCGCCTGTGAACTACATGCATTTGCGTTAATACGCATAAAGGAGGCTTTTGAGGTTGCCGGCTTCTAACTCCGATTCCCACAGACCCTGTCCCCGGATGAACATGACACAGCAATACTTCGCTCTCGGCAAAAGGGTTTATTCACTCACCTAACGCCTGGGGGGCTTCGGGATCGGAAAACGGTCATCGGCGAGGCCGGGGGTAAGTCCGCTGCAACTGCAGCTGCTCCAAGTCCCAGCAGTGGTCGTTCACACCGCGTCATGGGGACATCGTCGTCGAGGGTCGCCGTCCGGTCCGTCTGTCGAGTCCGCCACTCGACGTCTTGCCCGCACTTTCCCCGCGCCTGCGTCCGTCTCCCGCCAAATCCCGCGCTAGCGTCCTCGTCTCTTTGTCACCGCTGCACCATACTTCGTGTCCCGCCGTTCATAAGCGTCACCGTCCAAGAGGCTGCCGTCCAAGAGAGAGCCTTCCTTTGTCCGGCTTCCCCTTTTCAAGCCTTCGCCCCTTTGTCTTGGGAAGCCAATCGCGTGACGTCAGTTGGCCTAGGGGAGCGCCGTACCCGGATCTTTGGTAGGCGAGGCCATGGCCGCTCCCCCGAGGCATGACGTATCTCGGAGGCCCGAAATTAGGGTCCGGAGGGTCGGCGCGGGGGAGGGCAGCCAGATCTCCACAAGGTTTTACAGATTTGTTTTAAGAGAGATTCACTCGCCCGCCACCCAATGGGCACATATCGCTACACAAACCTGAGTTTCAGGAATGCACCAGAGCATTGATTCCTTCTGAGCTTCATTATGAAGATGTAAGAAATGTGTACGATCCTTGAATTTTACCCTTAGAGAGCTGGAAATGTTAATAAAATTTAGCAATACGATCATTTTGACTGTTTTGAGCTCATTTCGAGGTAATTTTGAAATTAAAATTACTTATCAGATAACTGCGACAAAACGAATGAATATACGTACTGGAGACGACTCCTATCTTAAGTTTTACACCACGATGAGAAAACCAAATGCCTTGGTATTCGCGTATTTGTGTAAATAAATTTGACAGGGCAGTTTTCGTTGGATTTTTTTTTTAACTGGTTCAACGAGATGGCGACACCAGCACCAAATGGCCCCAAGCCAGAGGATTTGTTGTCACTGTTTTCACGAGCTCGCACGGGCCGCGACTCGCGGCACGAGTCCGTTGCTTGGCACCGCCAAGATAAGTTTTGCCGTTTTGCCGTAGAATGATCTGTGTGAGATATTGGTACAGTGCACTAGAATACGGTATAGTGTTCGCACATGAGCCCCCTCGCGTGAGGCGCGTGGTGTAGATCACGACAGATGGCGACACTAGCGCATGGGCAGCAGGGTTGTGCGCTTGCGCGCCGCGATGAGTGTGAAAATACGAAATTGACATGTCAGTCAGGATTAGTTGCAATGAGAATTTGCGTGAGCGACGTAACTGTGAAACTGACAAGTGTGTTACGTTCTGACTTTATATCAGTTTATTGCAACTCTTGAGTGTACCGCCTAAAGCCACTACATGAGCTTGTTTTCTAGCTCTTGTTGTAGAAAAGGAGCGGTAATCGAGCGTGCAAACGCGTATCGGAGCACCCGGACCAAAAGCTCGCGTTGCATGACCCAGGGTTCAATCCACGCCTATGTATGTTTCGATCTAGATGAGCATCGCACCGACGTGAGGTTGTGTTTCACTACTGCGTGATGCAGGTTAAGAAACCCTGGCTTGCAGAAGTACTGCACTTATTAACTTCTCATCTACAGCGTAAACTAGTGTCGCCGTACCCAAAGACAGACTGGCCCTGTTAAGAACCCAGTAGGTGCTCTGCCTCGAGCACGCGCTTTCTGCCTTTGATAATTACACTTCGTCGCACACGCAGTCAAAGCCCGTCAGTAGGCAACGAGCGCCTGTTGAAGGCGAGCATCTAGTGGTTTCCTATCCTGTCGCTTCATACGAACGTCAAATTTGATTTTGAAAGTTGTGGCAGTGTTGCCTCAGCTACGACTTTAGGATTGTGGCAGCGTTGCGTCAGCGACGACTTTAGGATCCTGAGGTGGTCATAATTTTAAATGAAAACCCTAGTTCTTCTGTCAATCAGACAAACACCTAACGTTTAGCGGATGGATCTAAAATTGACTACGTATGGCAGATGGCAATGTAGTTTCTGTTTCATGGCAGTGTGGGACGGAGTATGTCGCAACAGACACGCATACCAAAACTCGTCTCAGACATACTAAAACCCGAAACCGGTTTTAGTAGGCCTAACTTCAACCAGCCGTGTTTAACGCTTTTATGCAAATAACCTTCTAGGCGATGGTCGTTTAGAGATTAGTTTTTAATGCTTGACAACCATCTGGTGCGTGTTGCAAGCAGCGCACGATCACCTGAAAGGAATGGTTCATGTGCCATGACACTTTTATAGAGCATTTTTATAGAGCAAAGAATAATTTATTCAATCATATACAACAAAGCTGACACGCAACTAATTTAACTCATTTAATGTTATGGTCCCTTTTCAACAAACCCATTCCCGCATAATAACCAGAATAGACATCCGCAAAGCTTTGAACAACATCCGTTACCAAGGCATCCTTCACAAAATCTCAAAAATCAGCCACGGCCAACGACTAGAAGCCTACATCAGAGGCTTTCTCACCAACCGTGCCATACACATCCATGTATGAGAGTACAGAAGCAAAGAGAGCCATTACCACCGGGGTGCCACAAGATGCCATTCTAACCCCACTCTTTTCAATGTTGCAATCAAAGACCTACCCCACAAATTCACAATATTTCATCAGTAGTAGATGTGGATAACATCACTGCCTGTAGTGCTGCAAAGGCTTCCAGCACAACAAGAGCACCACTACAGAAAGACCTAGGCACCATCTGTGACCACATTCACACGTTGAGACAGTCCCGTCTCCCAGAAAAAGCCGAGTATATTATGGTCCTCATCTCCAACCGATCACAGGCAGAAGAGAGCTGTATCCGCATCCAGCTAATACTTGCAGGATAGGCCATCTCCAGAAAGAAACCAATATAAATACTAGGTTTTTAGTTGGACCAAAGTAGAAACACCGACGAGTTACTTTTTTAAGAAACTGGTAAGAGCACACCTGATCATGAACATGATCAGCACCTCGCTTTCCCCTGCCTCCCAACCGAACCGCCCCCATGGAACACCATACCATTACATTACGACCAGCGCCATCTCTAGGAACATGGACTCAGAATGCTATTAACAAAGAAAAGACCCCCAAAGCCCGCTTACCCTCAATACAACCACAACCCACAAACTGCATCCACACAGATGGCGTCTACTTACACCATACATAGGAAGGTGCCATGGCCACAACCGACCATACAAATAAAAAAAAAAACACAACAATGCATCATCTTTCAATAGCTGGGAGGTGCAACCCATCGCAGGTGTCGTTTAAGAAGATGCTGAACTACAGGGCATCACAGTCTGCTTTGAAAGCCATGGAGCGCTAGAGGCGTTGAGGGGCATAAGACTTCCACCTCACGCAATGACACTGTTAAC